CAAATCTCCAGACTAGTTTCATGGTAAAAGGACCTGAAGGACTTTTCGGGGACAAGATCAGCTCCCTGACAATTGGACAACCGCCTCGACACGCCACGGAAGGACCCTGAAGTCTTCCTATTGAGAAGCTGAACTGTGTGCTTCATGTTCCGAACTATGTTATTACGCTCCGGACCTGGACTTCGAGGTACTCATCAACGCAAGACTGAAACCATCCTGACCAACGGAAGAGGACTCTGACTTTCAAACCCATTCTCCAACCGGGACTCTCAGTCCACGGACAAGCCCTTTGATGTAGAACGCCTGGTTTGCCTCAGCTCTGCCATAGTTAGAGCTGCATCGTTCACAGAAAGACTTGTCTGCAACTTGAAGTTAAAATTAAATTCACCTGATGTTTCCAAAAATTATACTGATATTTTCTGTGTATTATATGGTTTTGCTAACCCTTCCCAATCTCCTTACAGGAACTGCCATGAATTGTAGAATTGTGCATCACAGTAAATTCATTTCAATACGTATGAAATTGCTTTTCTTAAGGTTATAATTGTGTTGATTTAGCTGATTCCATTCTCTATCTCTGTGAACTGCTGTAAGATATTATTGTCAGTTGTGTTTGCCTTATCATGTTTATTACCTTATTTGTTATTTTGCAGATTTTTGTACTACACTTTGTATGGAATGATTCTTTGGACGAAGTTATCAGGATTGAGATTACGATCCGCAATAGACAAAGGATTGCAGCACCTCATGCTGTGTTCCCACTTCATTGTGTTGATTTTGAACCTTTCATATCTGTTCGTAGTGTTTATTACTTTACTTATTATTTTCCTTGTTTTGACGCTTATCATTTTTGTCTTGAGTTGCTTGATTTGTACCCTATTGGTCCTTATGACTACCGAGATGATCACCTTTCCTGGTTTTACCCCTTCCCTATTCCTTGAGTCATGATTGATGCAGCTGTCATAGATAATGGTGACAAGTTATGGAAGTGGATAAAATTCCCTATTATTTGACTTATTTTTTATTTTCCTTATTTTGTTTTGTTTTGTTGCTTCCTTTTGTTTGGTTATCCTGTTCAGATAAACAGGAGGGAATGTTATGGAAATTTTATGTTTATTAATTCTTGATCATTGAATCAATCAACTGAATGCAATATGTTTTGCTCTATGCTTCTTTTCATGCTGGCTTATTCAGACACACCCACACAAGCCACTCACACACGCACACATTCTTGACTTACCACACACATACTCTCTCTCTCTCTCTCTCTCTCTCTCTCTCTCTCTCTCTCTCTCTCTCTCTCTCTCTCTCTCTCTCTCTCTCACACACACACACACACACACACACACACACACACACATATGCATTCCTTTCTTATCTCTTGGTATAAATAAACTCTGTGACCAGATGTTCGGGGCATTTTGCCTCATGCATTATGCCACAGTTGTAACTGTTTGACTTGCCTGTTCATTGTCTCCTTTTTCTCTCCGACTACAGGAAATGGGTTATTGATAAACATATTGATAAAACCCATGAAATCCACTGAACTTAACAAGTTAGTATTATTTGCAAGCCTTTGATAAAATGAAAAATAAAGTGTATACCAACAATTGTTGTTTTTGGTTTCATCTTTGCACCAACTTTGCAAGATGATTGTTAAAATATCCAACAGAAAATGATCTGAGTAGTTTGGGGGCTAATCTCACATCCTTGTGGAGTGCCCGTGTTAAATCATGGCACATGAATGGAAGTGGAAAACATGTTATTACTGTTTGAGTCAGTGTTCTACATCCAAATTATTTAAATAGAATTCTCACCTAATATAATTTCTTTGGTATTGAAATTAGTTAACAGATTGAGTTTAGTAACGAGTAAAAATCAACCAACCAGGTAAAAAAGATCCCATTTTTGTCACACAGTTGTATTCAATGTGGTATGTTCTCACTCTGCTCCAGCATCTTCCACTTCCTGTCTGCCTCCTTTTTTTACCTGGTGTCTGGAGCTGACATCTCAGAGACAACCTGATCCCCCTCCACCCCACCCACCCCCCACCCCCTTCCCCCGGCATCAGCTCTCTCTCACACTCACGAACATTCTCAGACTGCGGGGAGTATCGACACTTCACAATGTTCTCAGTTTCTAATAAAAATGTGATCACCGACAGTTTTCACTTAAGACCTTCAAAAGCGCTCCACGGTTTTATGAGCTCATTGCTCACTCAGTGGAAAAACTTCACTGTCTTCAAGCACCCAGTACTTTTAAAAGTTCTTTCCCCAGTATATAAACCTAAATGTGTCAAGTTGATGCATTTGAGCTGACTGAACAAGACGAACAACACTTTGTTTACTTTATTCGGCGTGAACACTAATGTTGTCTTCTGAAAACTCCATGAAGCTTTTGTACATTTTTAGACTTTTACAAAAAACTCTTGTCTGAGATTATTTTTGTGACAATGACAGCATTGACTGATTGTGGGCATGTCACAAATTTGATGCACTTGAATTATCTAGTTTAATCTCATTTCATATAGGTTCATGTGTAATCCTGTAAGAGGGTGCCCAGATCTTGACGAGTGGGGGAGTAGAGGGAGGTGGAGTGTACAGTTGGTAAAGACGGCTCTCTCTTGCCCTGCCTCCATCATGCCTCCATCTAAAAGGTTATCCAGAGTTATCTCTGTAGTTATGCTACTATAGGCTTAGACTGCTGGAGGACATACTGACCACTTTCCACCCTCTCCTGATAGACATTTTACTTTCTTTGACATTGAATGTGCTACTACCAGTTTACCCGTTTACTTATAGTTTCACTAGGATAAATACAATAAAGTTTTATCTCTCACTAAATAGAATATTTACTAAGAAATCACAATGTAACCAAAGAAACATTACTTGGTATACATGTTTTGTGTGTGTGTGTGTGTGTGTGTGTGTGTGTGTGTGTGTGCGTGCGTGCGTGCGTGCGTGTGTGTGTGTGTGTGTGTGTGTGTGCGTGTGTGTGTGTGTGTGTGTGTGTGTGTGTGTGTGTGTGTGTGTGTGTGTGTGTGTATGTGTCTGTTTGCGTGTCTGCTCTGTCTTCTCGATCCTCAGTGAGTCATGGCTGATGGCTGCTTGTACTGAGCCAGGATCATCTGGAGGTTTCTTCCTGTTAAAAGGAAGTTTTCCTCTACACTGTCAGTGCATGCTTGCTAAGTATGAGGATTGCTGTAAAGTCACTGACACTAGTCAGTGACCTGATGCAATCTGCTGGGTTCCTTATATAGGAAACCTTTTACCGATTGGCTTAATGAACTGAATTGTATTGGAATGTTTACTGTGTGAATTGCCTTGAGATGATTCTTGTTGAGATTTGGCACTATATAAATAAACTGAATTGAACTCCTTCAGTGTTCAGAGTCAATGGTAGGGTCGTGTTGTTTTTTAACCAATCAGAGATGTCCAAATATCAAGACATGAGACTCCAAATCCTGTCTTTTGAAACTACTTTGTACGATTTACAAGACTTTCATTTCTACTAGAGACCACTGCGAATGTATTGATTAAACAAGCAGGTGAAAAGACACATCTGCCTACTGTACAAGCCTGTGGGGGCAGTGCTATGATCTGGGGTTGCTGCAGTTGGTCAGGTCTCCAAGAATGAGGTCAGCCGACTACCTGAATATCCTGAATGTCCAGGCTATTCCATCAATGGAGGCCAGACCTTAACCCCATTGAGAATCTTTGAGATGTGCTGGAGAAGACTTTGTGCAACAGTCAGACCCTACCGCCATCAATGCAAGATCTTGGTGAAACATTAATTCAACACTGGATGGAAGTAAATCTGGTGACACTGCAGAAGCTTCCTGAAACAACACCACAGTGAATGTCTAACGTAATCAAAGCTAAAGTTGGCCCAACAAAATATTTGAATGTGTGACCTTGGTGGCGACTGTATTTTGACCAGTCAGTGCACTTTTCAAATTTCACCTGTATGTGGTATCATCATCCTCTGTGCATGAAAGACTAAAGTTGATTTAGAAAACAGTTTTAACATACAGGGGAATGGATAAAAGTATTTCAGAAAGCAAAGTGGATATAGTATGAGTGAACGCCTTGTGAGATGATCTCGGTGGGAACAAAAGCTCTCCTGCTCCTGTTCCTGGAAGCAGAAATTAGCCGAAGCAGATGGAAGCAGAAGACAGCAGGATTTGGAGTTTTATTTCCTGATATTCAAACACCTTGCCACTGATTTGCTAACAGCAAAGCGACTCCACCACTGATTCCCATTTCTCTGAAAGAGTTCTGCTGTGTGGTAGAGTTGCTAATGCTAATGGCTAGCTTTTGCTAGCTGAGATGTGCTATGTTGTGTAGTAGAGTTGCTAATGGTAATGGCTAGCTTCTACTAAATAAGATGTGCTCTGCAGTTTGGTGGAGTTGCTAATGCTAACGGCTAGCTTCTTCTAGCTGAGACGTGCTGTTTCCTGGACGCTAAACCAACAACAGCCTTCCCCGTCACGAGCCAAGGTGGGTGAGTCTGTGAATGCTAATTGTCAGTGCGGTGTTGATCTGACTGGCTGATCCGAGTGGTTCAATGTTTGTTTTCTGTCAGCCGGAAATCGGGGTAGAAAACTATTTTCACATTAGGCCAGCAGGTTAAAGTCTGAGTGGCCGATCATATTAAAAATACCAAGTAAAAAGCAGTTTCTCAGTTAACTTGGCCTTAAATGAGAGGTGGCTCTAATCGCTTACAAGCATTAACCAAAGTTGCATCAATTGGACAAAAGTAGAAAAGATCTAATAAAAAATACATAAATAAATTATATATATATATATATATATATATATATATATATATATATATATATATATATATAACTACATAACTACGTAACTAGTTACAGACTAATTGAATTAATTTAAACCAATTTACAAAAATAGAAAAAAAACATAATTTATCAAGAAAGATGTTTTTATTTTTTTCTAATCCTAGTCATTGAGGTTTTTCTTCTGCTGTGGCAGCATATCCTCTATGCAGGATGTTTTGTTTGCACTGCATTATGCGTGTGAAAGAGAAAAGGAATTCAAGGGAATGGCACTGAGAAGAAAACAGAAATCTAAAGGATAAGGTACATGAGGCCAGAGATGAAGGAGAGAGAGGGAGAGAGAGAGAGAGAGAGAGAGAGAGAGAGCGAAAGAGAGAGAGAGAGAGAGGGCAGTATTGCTGTGCGTGTTTGCAGGAGAGTGACAGACAAACAGACTAGAGAGGGAAAGAGGAGAGAGGTTATTGCTGGAAAGCGTGAAGACAATAATGTAAACTGACATTTCAGAAATTAGATGCCGGTTGCCTTGGCAACAGGCCCTGGGCTAGAGGGCTACCAGGAAAAGGGTGAGGATGGGTGAGGGTGAGTATGAGTGCGGGCGAGCGGGGCTGCAAGAGCACTGAGATAGTGAGTAAATTGTGTTTGATTAGCAGCGCAATCATTTGAAAAGAGCAGAGAGACGCCTGTGGCGATGCATCCAGCCAATCAATGCAGGAGAGGAAAGTGCTGTGGAGGACGTGCAAACGTAGCTCTGAAGGGTTTGCTCCTGTTTTCACAGGTGATGCTTGCCTTAAGAAGCTCTGGTATTTGTCTCAAACCAATGAAAACAAATCGGCTGTGCTTGAGATGTGAGGCGGAAAATGACTGAGCTGCTTCGAATTTCATTCTTCGTCAAAGTGAGCTGAGAAATGTGGTCTACGGTGATGCCAGAGGTGGAAATAAAGCCAACCCAGAGCTTTATGATTATACTATACATTTATGTCATATATCATGTTCTGCATTATTTCATTTACATATAAAGGAATGAATCACTTATATTTATGTGCAGTTTTGTATTTTAGTTTAATGAAAAAAAAACAATCCATACGAAACAAAAAGCATAATTTCTTGACTTTAAACATTTTTTTTATTAATCTCTCATTTTTCAAGCCTAGTTTTCTTTTAACTTTTTTGAAACAAGGTGGAAATATTTATTCACTGTATAAACTCAGTTATACTCTCAAACAAGAGTGAGGTTTAAATGTTGGGGATTTTTGTCAGATGAATATCAGTTTACTTCTTCTTGTGAATATTGCAGAGAGTAGGAAGTGTGACGGCATCAAAGAACTGCAGCGCTCACGTCCGTCAACACGAATAAAGATACGTTTAAAAGGAAGTCTCTGAAGCCCAGCAAGAACGAACAGACACACATGTGAGTGGAATTAATTCATTGCTATTTTTAGAACATGCTGATTTTTAATTCACTTCAATTCATTTCAATTAATTGATTTGGTGCATTGATTTGTTCTTTACATCGTTCCACACATTACAGTCTAATGGAATAAATAAATAAATCAACAAATAAATAAATAAATAAATAAATAAACAAACAAATAAATAACTACTTAAATTTACTAATAAATAAATAAATAATATAAGATAAGCTGAGTTCTTCTGTGAAATGAAAAAATCCAAGAAAATTCCAACAATTACGAAAACCCTTATTTCAAGTTGATCCTGGACAAGGTAGCAGCAGGAAAATAAACAATTACAATTTGCAATCACATGAAAGTCACATGACGTTTACACAAAACAAACGTGCTCTGAGTACATGGAAGTAAGGGTCACAACATTGTTACTAATATTTGACTCCAATCATCTTCAGTGTACTTTAAGATGCTGCGTGAGCTTAAATAAAAACATTTCAGTGAATGTAGAATAGAACAGAATAGAATAGACTTTATTGATCCCACAGTGGGGAAAGTCACTTGTTACAGCAGCACCAACACTTGAGAGAATCATTTGAAGAAAAATAATGACAAGGTACATGTAAATACACACAGACAGTAGTCTAGTATTGTATCCTTCGACCACTAAAAGCCACAAATAAAAGAAGGAAAAAACTTGGGTTCCAACACTATGCAGCATAGTGCAAGAGTCACAGACATACTGTGAAAATCTGGTGTTGAACGAGTACTGAACACATACTGAGTGGTGTTATTGTGAACCAGGATAATGCCAGCACAGCTTAAACTGAGGAGTTATACACTCTTACTGCAGAGGGGATGAATGACCTACGGTAGTGTTCTGTTTTACATCTGGGATGCCTCAGTCTGCCTCTGAAGGAGCTGTCCGTGGTCTCCACAGTGGTAATGCAGTGGGTGGGAGGGTTTGTTTTAAGATGGTGGTCATCTTCCCCAGCATCCTCCTTTCACACTCCTCAACTGAATCCAGTGGGCAGCCCAGAACTGAGCTAGCTTTGTGAACTAGCTTGTTCAGTCTCTTCCAGTCTTGGTCAGACCTGCCTGCACCCCAACACATCACTCAGAAGGACCTCAGCCTCCTCAGGAGGTGGAGGCGGCTTCGGCCTTTCTTGTACAGAGAACAAACCACATTCACAAAGAAGACAAAATACATTTAGTAAAATAAACTTTATAAATGTAAACATTCTTATTTGGATATCATATGTGAAATCCATGGCATTTATCCTCTCAGACTCCCATTCAATATTTTTGGCTGTTTAGGCCCTATGGTCCAGAAGTAGATGGGCGTGGCTTAAGAGCTGATGTATTTAGTAAACATTTTACAAAACACGTGTTTGCTTCAAAAGGTATTTTCTTTCTGTCCTTATTATGACTGAAACAGTATTAGTAAAAAAAAATGAGCATCAAAACCTCAGAACAAACTCAAGTTCAGTAAATGTGGTTTGTTCTTTAAGCAGATACAAATAAAGCATGAAAAAATGAATGTGAAACACATAAAGAGAAAGAATTCAGACTATTGTTGAGGAAAAACTTAGCCATGAGAAAACCCAAAACCATGCTATTGCATCAGCTAAAGCAAATGTTAATATTTACACCAAGAAAAATAAAACACAGCTTCCTATTGATGCAATCCATTCTGTGAACATTTGCACTTAACTTATTGTGTGGTAGCACAGGTGAGAGCAAATCACAAACTTGTGAGGCCTGTCGTTAAATCTGTCTGCATTTAGAAAACTAAGGGAAAAAATGCGAAGTGGTAAAGATCAGAAAGCAGCAAGGTTGTGTCAGATTAGAACATGTATTCATCAGAGCTGAAAAGCTAGAGCAGGAATTTATTAGCAGCAAAAGCACAAACGACAATGAGCTCTGCACCCAAGAGAAACTTTACAGACACTCAAAAGTCACTTTTCATCACTTTAGATGCCAGATCCCCCAGAATCCTTTTATCTTAGTGATTCAGACTCTATCTATCTATCTATCTATCTATCTATCTATCTATCTATCTATCTATCTATCTATCTATCTATCTATCTATCTATCTATCTATCTATCTATCTATCTATCTATCTATCTATCTATCTATCTATCTATCTATCTATCTATCTATCTATCTATCTATCTATCTATCTATCTATCTATCTATCTATCTATCCATCCATCCATCCATCCACCCACCCACCCACCCACCCACCCACCCATCCATCCATCCATCCATCCATCCATCATATTTGGGTGTACTAGTCTGTTTCTAACTGCTGTGTATGGTTTTGTTGGTGTGTTTATGTTGTGTATTTTCATCGATGCTGTTATTTTTTTCAGTTATGCCTTTGATGTATGGTAAGGTTATCACTGGTTTTTGTTCTTGTCACCAGCAAAGAGCCAGAAACCCAGAAAGACAAGATACCAGCTGGACTTAAATGTGGAGTCATTTACGAAATCCCATGCAAACTCTGCAATAAAACATACATAGGAGAAACCGGACGCCAACTCAACACACGAACAATAGAACATAGAAAGGAGTGCGAGAAAGAAGCAAGTCAAAAACACACAAGAGCAGCAAAAGAAGAAGCAGAAAGCACAATGAAGAAGTCAGCCGTAACAGATCACTGCATAAGAGAAAACCATATAATGGTCTGGGACAACACAAGGATCATAAACACAGAACAACAACAATACAAAAGATGGATAAAGGAAGCTATAGAGATAAGGAGACGTGGATGTGGGACCATGAACAGGGACGATGGAGTTTACTCGTTGGATCGTACATGGGACTGCATCATCAGAGAGGGGAGAACGGGCAGCAGAGGCGACAATGTCCTCTGCTGCCCGCAGATAAACGGAGAAGGAAGTGACGCCACAATCGGCATCAGACTGATGAGGTTTGCAGCCGCAAACGAAACGTTGCAGGTAAATAAACCTTTTCTGTGTTTTAAAAAGAACTGAAAGATGGAATTACTGTAAATGTTAAATGTTTTAGTTAAAAAAAAGTGACTCATTACTTTAAGTGCTCATTTGATACAGCTACCTAATTTAAACTTCAACCCTACTAATGCACAATTTCTGAAGAGACGAATGCCTGATCCTGACTGGCCCTGAACTCGTTATTAAAAACAATTATTACTAAAATGGCTCCTTTGACTTCCATCTGCTGAATATTTCATTGCACAAATAATAACACTTTTTGATATTATGTAAACGTTTGTTGTTTTTTCACTTGATAAGTAGTCACAGTGGCACTTTAAACAGATGAAAAAAACTTTGATCTGATTAAATAAACTAATTAAAATGAAGTAAAAGCTACGTTGATGTATTTTTTTCAGATGCATGATTATGCATTTTACTGAACAACTTTATGATGAACCAAACATGTAACGCTGACATTCATTTTGTCTTTAGAACATTACAGCTTAATGTGGTCTTTTTACTAATTAAAACTGTATTCTTTTATTTAGCTGAAAGATCTCATATCTGCTTTTGGTGAGAGGTTTTCAAAACAACTCCCTAAAAAAAGGCTGGCGGATGTCTTTAACTAAAAGGTGTGATCAGAAATTTCCAAGCCTGCACAATCGAAAACCAAAAGCCAGCAACAGATTAGATGTGGCTGCTCTGCTGTTATCACATTAAAAAGGCAATGTGTAGTTTTTACACTTAATCTCTGGAAATAACCGTCGAAACATTGTTGAAAATGAATCAAATGATGTCCAGTTGATGAAAAATAATGGTGGCTTTGTTCCATATAACCATAAAAAGCAGGTCTAAAATACATAGGGCGCAGGTCCAGCATCTTTGGGGACGCCATATTAGACACCATGTTTTCTTCTGGCCGGCTCGGGGTCCTGCGTCTGCCGATGACGTCACACTAGATGATTAGCTGTGTTCGAGATGAGCCAGTTCTGCGCAGATTTGATCACTGGTGATCGGCAAGCTGTGCATGACGGTTAGATTTGTGTCCGACTTGCTCTGTCGTCATGGCTACGTAGGCAACGATAACCTCGTCAGATCAAGGCGGCCACAGATTTTGGAGCAAGGCGCTGCAGTTGCTCTCCACCAGCTGCAAAACCTAGGCAATGACAGGAAACGCCTGGCTCTCACCTGATATAAGACCTGATTGGTTCACATTTTGATCCAAACAGGGGCGCCTCCAGAAAATTTTGAAAGGGGTGGCCAGATGGGGCCAAACAAATTTTTTGGGTGACACACCAAATTGAACGTTGTGGTAACTCTGAGAGAGTTTAGCCTGTGGCGGGGTACTGAATTGCTCCTTTATTCATTAAAAAAAGCAGTACATATCCAAAACATTAAACATAAATTTTATAAACACAAACATTTCAGAAAATTACATTTCAGTCATTTAACATGTAATTCCATATCTAATTTACAATTTTTTTAGGTTAACTCACCTGTTGCTTTCACAAAAAAACTATGGAGATTAAAAAAATTTTAAAATGGTGAGCAGCAGAAAATGCATTTATTTTTTCTGATTATTTCTTTACTTAATTGTATTTTTTCTTTTGTTTTACAATTATGTCTGGAATAATCAATATTAATATATGGTTTGACTGAACATTAATATGATTTATTAAAACTGACTTTTCCAGGGAGGGGGGTGGGGGGGCACTTTTCTAAGGGTGGCCATGGCCACCCCTGGCCACCCCTTGGGGGCGCCCTTGGATCCAAACATCCGATGGTAGAAAGCGAAATGTTAGTTCGTCAACTGTATTGTGTAAATCATGTTATGTTAATGATGACAACTTATAGTCCATAAAGAGAAATGTGTCATGTTTCCAATGAGCACACTAAAACTACAGCTGCTAACCTTTATTTATAATTACAGTCAAATCTTCATGCACAGGTCTACAATTTACAAGCATGTGAGGATGTGTTTCAGTTATAACAGGCACCAGAATTAAAATAAAAAAATAAACAAGTATGAACGCCGACGCGATATCTTCATCCATCATCAGTTGGGAAATCTGTCTGACTTAAATGCCGGCTTTCAGCCACTCCCCCTGCTGCGTTTGTCTGCTCTCGTCTGTAATCCAGGTGAGGCGCTGCTCATCTCGAACAAGGTCATAGTTTGGATGTACGTTGCCACGTTCAAAAACATCCGTTCATCTCTTTTCCCAGAACGTTTCTTTTACAACGGTACTTACCATTAGAACATCTTCTGGGGTCTGAATCAGCTGCTTGACTTGTCGAGGCCATCGTTTTACACAGTCCCAGCCTCGCTTTGCCGAGCGGACTTTTTGTCACAACGGTGCCCTCTATTGGCTGGTAGATGTAAACACAAACCCAGTGCCGTGCCCATACACTTTAGATTTTTTTAAATAAAGCTTTTAAAGGAAAAACTGTAAACCGCATTTTCCGGACTATAAGCCGCTATTTTTTCCTCAAGCTTTGAACCATGCGGCTTATAATGAGGTGTGGCTTTACTGAAGATTTACCTTCACCTGCCAGGGGGCGTTTTAGCAGAAAGTGACACAGGTGGAAGTCAAAAGTGGAAATCGAAGAAAGTGCTAATTTTAATTTTGCACATGCAAGCAGCCGGCACAACGAAGAATTATTTTCAAATCCATACCCCCTCATCATGGTAACTACACGAATGAGTTCATATGATGCCGCATTTAAGTTGAAGACCATCGATCTGGCAGTAAAGGAGGGAAACAGTGCTGCCGCACGTAAGCTTGGCATGAATGAATCCATGATTTGGCGTTGGAGACGGCAGCGGGAAGAACTCATTCAAGCCAGCTTCACCTGGGGGTGATGACAGCGACACTGACATCGCCACAGAAAAGGTATGTTACGAAGCTCTTCTGAGGCTGTTCAACTCCGACACTGAAGAAGAGGACTTTAATGGCTTTAGTGCGCAAGAGGAAGATGAATAAACTAATCAATAACTTTTCTGTTTAGTTTGATACTGATCAGTTCAGTTACATTCAGTTAAACTACGTTTTCAATTCAGTAGATATCTGCGGCTTTTAGCCCGGTGCGGCTTATTTAAGTACAGTTCCATGTTTTTTTAAAAACTTAGTAGGTGCGGCTTATATTGAGGTGCGCTCTATAGTCCGGAAATTACGGTATTCATTCTGCACACCTCTTAATGCCCAGTGGAGGTAAAATGCAGGAAAAAAATTATAATAAAATATAGATATTTATTGAATTGTTCCATTTTCAACCTTTAACACGATTTTAATTCAAGTCAAAATGAAAGAATGGAGATACCTTAATGAAATGAGATGCTAAATTCCTAATAGTGCAGTTGTTATGAATATCATTAAATATTATTTGTACTTGCTCATATAATTATTTTCAAAATCACCAAGTAATCGTATTATTTGGAAAAAGAGAAATTATATCATTGCTATGTAGAACAGGTATTGCAATTTTAAATTTTAAAAGGGCTTGCCATACTGGCTTGTTTGAGACAAATACTGGGGAATGGTAAATGGCCTGTATGTGATATAGCGCCGTCTAGAGTCCTGGAACCCCCCAAGGTGCTTTAAAACACAATCAGTCATTCACCCATTCACACACACTTTCACAACCTGGTGGTGATGTATACACTGTAGCCACAGCTGCCATAGGGCACAATGACAGAGGCAAGTCAACATTAAACATATGCCACCGGTCCCTCTGAACACCACCAGCAGGCGAGGTGGGTTAAATGCCTTGCCCAAGGACAAGAACCTGCAACCTTCTGAATACGGGGCGAGAACTTAACTCCTGTGCCACCGTTGCCCCCAGCATGAATACAAACGGAACCCTTGTTCACGGGATCGTTCTAATATTACTGCTACATCACTTCAGTCAGTAATGAAATCTGACTCAGCTGAACTTTATTTGCCTGCGTGATGATCTCAGAGACGATGACAAGTTGCAACTTTGCTGCTTGCAAGACTCTGTTAACAACCCCAGTTTTCATTTGCATCCTTTAAACATTCTTGGGAGCCACCAGTTTCCACCTAGCTCAAGTACATCCTTTTCTTTCCAGACGGGAAACAGTCATCAGCACTTTTATCACTTCACTGTCATCTTCTTCTACTTTCTCCTCCGGCTGACTCCTACACCCTCAAAACTGGTGCACTGATGCATTTTTTCTCCAGAGAATGACTTACAAGGCATTCATTCCTAGAGACCACTGCAAGTGTATTAGAAATGTGCGTAAAGCTGACTTTTAAATGGAAATACAAATAAACTTTGGTGTGGTATGGTGACGGCAGTTTTGCAGCAAAACTTTCATCCCATGGGACCCAGTCCGTATGCAGGGCTCTGGTTTGATCCCCTCTCTGTTGTATTAGGATATTTTCTAGAAGATCACAGTCCAGGGAGAAGGTTTATCCACACCCAAGGTTTATCTCATTAATCCTCCGAACAGATGTCTAAACATCACCTGTCCAAAACCACGTGTCATGAGCCGGGGTGAGTACTCCTTTTCTCTTAACCATCTGTGAGTCTCTTGCCAGGAGAGGGAGTGACCCAGTTGTTCCTGATCAGCAATCAGCGGGGTGGTTTCCTATTTAAGGTGGATGGAGGACACAATTCGACGCCGGAAGATTGCCTCGGCTTTGGTAGTAGCCTGCAACTCGAGTTAGCTCTAGTAGTTCTAGGATTGATGTTATTCGTAGTGTTTTTTGCTCTTCGTAGTGTTTTTGCTCTTAGTATATTTGGATTTTTTACCCTTCTTCAGGATTCCTGTCGGTCTCATTGGATACTAACCTCTACTCCAGGAGTTGGACATTCAGCACGTGGACCTCATCACCAACCTCCATAACCCACCTCTCATCTCACCCAGTGCCCCATCCGCCAGGACGCCCTGCTTCTCTCCGCCTCTGCTCCCTCTCCTGCGCTTCCCCCAGCTCTCTACCTCTCCCTCCTCCAGACAACATATACACGCCCCACAGTAAGTTCTGCTGAATACCTCTGCCTGCCTACAATGGATTTTGAAGTCAGAACCTAAGCTCACCTGTGTTCTCCCTCCTCCAGACGCTGAGCTGTCGTAGCAGTTCCAACCACAGACTTATCTGTGCATCCTAAGTTCCTCCTTTATAAATAAATCATTTTACCATCCATTTTGGGTCTGTTGCATTCTGCATGTCTTGGGTTAGGTACCTTCCTCCAAACATGACACCACGGTCTGTTTGTGAACAGTCTTTACTGATCACAGCTCAGTATTTGTTTAACTCCAATGCTAACAGGAGTTACACAAGATGTTTTAAACAGTTTATATAAACACCAGCTGACAGGGTCCATAAATAGTGTTTTAAACTGTGTTTAGACACTCAATAAAACAGTGATTATTAGGGCAGTTTCATGCAGGATTCTGACCCACTCTGACAGGGAAGTGAGGGACAGTGATCTTGTGTTATCTCACTGCTAACTCTTGAATTAAACGTAATCAAAGTGGATCTAACTTTGAGGTTTTAAACATTTTCATTGGCTGTTTGTGTCTTTATGTTCACCTGATGAAAAGCTTCTTCCCCCTGGACCAACAAAGATGCTGAGGTGTTGCAGGAGACAGAGCTGTTGGGAGGGGAAACCGAAAATACTGGGTGTTCGGTCAGGCTCTGGCTCTGGTATAGAACTGGAGCCAGTATGGCAAGGAAGAAAAATCTTTAAAGGGTAATATACTGGAAAATCCACTTCTTGGTGCTTTTACGTGTAATTAATTAAATTACATGTTATTTAATAAGCCATAAGGCATAGGATTCCATAGGAAATATGAAATCAACCTTATGGATCTGTGAGGTTATTTTAACCCAGAAGATTGGAACTTTTTAATGCAGGGATTAGATAACAGCTTCGTATTCACTCAGACAACAGAAGAGAGAGAGTCAAGTTTAAAAGTTTAAAAATGTATTAAAAACAAATTAAACTAGACTAACTTTAAACACCAAATGTATGGTGTAACGAAGGTGGATGAGACAGAGAATGGTGTAGTGTGTAATGTTGCTCAGAACCAGCAAATCCGAAGAAGTGATTAGTTCCGATGGGAACTGAAGGTGATGTTGTCTCGTTAAGCTTTAGTTAGGAGATTCATAAACACATTCGACACCATTTGTCGGCCTACATACCCTGAGCGGAAGTCCCCGTTAGATCAGGAATGTCGAGGTCCAGCTTGACCTTTATGGAGCCGGAGCTGGCAGGAAAAGCATCGGTTGCCGACCAGACCATCTGTGAGATACTTCCGGGTCACGACAATTTTGTTGGCGTCTAGCAAGACCCAAGCCTGGGTCTTGATGGTTCAGCTTTTATTCTGAACCGTTGCAGCAGTTGTAACAGCAACGAACTTTCCAGCTTGTCGCTGGTTCTTTCGGTTGAAGAGGAGAGTTACGGATTGGCCACTCCGACAACTTCTCTAGAACGCTTTGAACTGGCGTTAGAGATGACGTGGGCATAGTTTTATACTTCGGATGTTTTGGTTTATGGTCGAATGAAAAGTTGACAGATTTTACCAAACACCATCAAAACCACACCTCCGTCAGATCTGTCAGATTCTGATTGGATCAGTGAAAGCAATGTGTCATGTCTTTTAACGCTACATGAGATCAGTTCTGTTGGAACATTTAAAGTCATATTACCTTTATATTCTATAGGATTATAATAAAGTAATTAATATTTTGATTTCACAGATTGGTTACATCTTATTTATTGACTAACACTTTGCTTGATTAGCTTTATTAAAATAGAGTTCTTTGATTAATGAAAAGAAAAGAGTCCATTCTTCATTCTTCTGTTGAGCTGAAAAGAAGCAGGTTAGAAGCAAATGCATGAGACCTTGAGGCCATATCTCATGCAGACTATTCCTGTGTCAGAGGAGAGGGGAAACAGTCATTTCATTCCGTTACATAAGCATGTAATATTGTTGTTTTCTCATGAAAAATACCCCAAACCTTTTTTTGGCTGCATTCATTCCCTTTTCAGCAGCTAAATTTGAATTCTATCTTGAAATTCCTGAAACGGCCTAACATATAAGCTGTGCATGCATCTTTCTGCTCCCAACATCAGGCCTTGCTCCTCTCTGGTTTGAAACCTGCTTCCCCTGGCCAGCTCAGGACATGTGGCATGGGTGACAAGTGTCACGTAACAGACTTGGTAGTCTAGAGGTACATGTGCTTGGCTGGACACCTTTACCACGGGACTACCACAGCAAATACAGCAACCAATTCTCCTGAGACGCTGTTGTAGGCACGCTTTGTCGATGCGGACTTGGGAGGAGTTTCACTGAAACAAACTGTTTTATTTCCAGGTATAAGTTCAGGTTGATAAGGTCAAGATAAATGACAACTCAGTAGTGCCAACGGTAATATTTTATCATACCGTGCCTACCGTTGTTCTCAGAGATTTAAAATAGCACGATCTGGAACCTTTAAGGTAGGCCTGTGATGGACTGATGATGGTCCAGGGAGCTGGAGATGAACACCAGTCCTCCATGACCCTGAACACAATCGAACAAGTATAGAAAATAAAAGATTTGAGCTGGTAGCAAATAAGATTTCCCATTAGTCTCTGAATGAAATTTAAAAGCGGCCTTTCTAAACTTTATTTTCCAAATTATTCAGTGGAATCCTTTTTTTTTTTGGTGTTTGGCTTTAGAATAATAAACACAAACAAAAGAAGCCCAGAGTTTAAATTAAACTAAAAAACTCATCACATTAAACTAACATTTATTCAGAGTTTGTCTTTTTCAGCAACATTTATAAAAATGTTAATGAACTTCCAACCTAAAAAAAAGTTTCTCACATTTTCTAATTTCAATCTAACCCGTGGGCTGACCGACGAGAGCGGCCTGGGCTTTCTGGAAGGAGGATGGTCCCGAACCAAACAGCCCTCTGTTAGCTGCTCAGCTGGAACTCAAAGTGACCGCAGCTAAGGTGGTTCATTTGAGAGGGACGATGAACAAAGGTGCGAATGAACAAACACGAAATTTTGGTGTTTGTTTCTTTCTTCATGCAGACAAAGTAACTCCAATAAAACTGATTAGCAACACTGAGCTGGAAGTTAACCGCGTTAGACTCCTTTCATCACATCTGCTCTAAAACATAGCGGCCCATCAGTGTTCGCAGATATTAAAAAGCTCATTTTTTGCTCAGCTGAGGGCTAGCTATCCGGCAAAACTGAAATTCTCAATCTACAGTCCTTTTTTTACAATCGCACCTCAACAGTTATTGTGAAATTCCTCTGTTGAAACCGCACCGTCGTGTAATCCCTCCTGCAGCTGCTCAGAACAACTTTGCAAAGCTCCACGTGCGACAAACGATTCGCCTGCCATGCATGTACAGCTGGTATTAGCACTTTAAAAATACTAATCCACATGTGCAGCCGGAACAAACAGCAAAGTGAAATTAATCTCAACATGTGATGGGTATGCTGATTTGTCAAACTGAGAGGCAAAGTGTGAATGTTTTCAGGTTTGCGCTGCACGATGGGTAATTATGCACCAGTCCAGGAGCAGCCATCACCACACACACACACACACACGCACACACACACACACACACCTGGTCCCAGATCGCAGGTATCACATCAGAACGGTGTTGTTTACTTGAATTAATCTAACTGCGGGGTAACAGAACAGGACAAAACAAAAGATTTAAATAAAGCTGTAACGGTGCACTTTGTGTTGCTTGCTTCAAGGTGAGATTGTTTCTCGAGGCAACGAGGTGCAGCTCAGAAGAAATTACAAAGCTCACGTTATTTTTCTTGGCCTGTGAAGGAGAGCACACACACCGCTGTTAGATCTCCTAACCTTTCACTGCTACATTAAACCCTTTAAAATAACAAAGTGCAGTTTGAGAGACCTGCCGACGCTTCATTTCAAACGTGCAAATATACTCCCAAGGAAATAAATCCATGGCAAACTTGTGAAATGCCAAGAGTCAGATTTAATATTTTTCTAAAGTAGGAGGGTTGCTTTTCGCATAAATTTGAAAGCAAATATTATCTTAATTATGTATACAAAGTTTAAAATGCATTGTGTGCTGCCTCCAGCGACACAGATGCACACCCGTGTGTGCCGCATTGTGGTAGTACACATGTGTACACACACAGGGACACACGCATGCACACAGGCAGCAGAACTGAATGCGATAGGGAAGTGAAAAATGATTAACCCAGGGTCAGCTCTCAGCCTCAATCTCGGCAGCGCTCAAAGAACATCCTCGCCTGATTTACACTCGTCATGTTCCACAGCACACATTTGCATATATTTATTAAATTCACCACGCGTTGGAGAATAAAATATAACAGGGTGGAGGCGTGGGGGGGGTGGGGGGTGGGGGGTAGGGGGGAGAATGAGGAAAAGGAGTGGAGGAGGGGAACGAGGGAGGAGGTTATTCAAAGGAGGCGTGTTTCTGATGGATTTGCTTTCTATTCATATTCATTTGTTCGCTCTTTTTCTCCTCTCTCCGTGTTTTGTTCATTAGCATAGAGGTCAGAGAAAACATCAGATGTGACCGCTCGGCGCTTTGGGGAACACGTTGCTGTTGGTCAGCCTATTGAATTGACCTTGTTATCATTGTGACAGACTGTGTTATTTATCAGTTAGTTAGATAAGAACAGCGTGGAGCATGGTGATAGGCTACCACATGAAACCAGCTGAATCACAAACACTGAGACAAACATGTCCCCCGGGCCTTTTTAACTTGTGCCACTAAACTCTGGCATCTGCGCTGCACGCCTGCCAAAACTCCAAGCAAGACAAAATGAGCTATCTTTCAAAACAGCACTAGATCCCCTCAGATCCAGTAGCCGCTTCTTTATTTCCTCTTCAAGCTGCTGACCAGAGGTGTGGACTTGAGGGACAAAATCTCACTGTAGACTTAAAATCAAAGGGAGAGAAGTTTGTAGGCCTTTTCCATTTGGACTCAGAACAGGAAGAAGACTCGTGGTGTTAATTTGCTTGACTGTGTGGTTTGTGTGATGACTGTCATCATCCGTATCAGCGCATGAGGGTCTGACAACAATGGTGGAAGGATCGAGAAATCCAACAAAGAAAACGGAGTAAGAAACATGACATGGACGCTAATTTGAAGAGAAAACGGCTGCGTCCTTCCAAGGTTGCATTTTATGGCTGATTACATCACATTGAAACAACAAGGCAGTCCAAATTCAAAGCCTTCTCAAAATGCAGCCCACCTGTGCGTCCTTAATTTCCCTGAATTTCAAGGACGAGCGTGGTGTGTCCTTACTGGCCCAGCCTATCACAGGATTCATTGTGGGTCGAACGGGAAATTGATGCTCTTCTAATAAAGGCAAACGAAGTGGGAGAGGATTAAAGTTTTACTTTAAAAGCCTCAAGCGGTAGTCAGGCGTTTGTCATTTACATAGTTGTTTTTTGAGATAATTGTTGCAATTCCGCAATTTTTCCCATGATTTGCAGGGCCTACTGCACGGAATGCTTTCAGTCCCCTAAAACGCTCCCGGTTG